GGGACCCGGGCTAGACAATCTCTCTAGGTCCTACATTTCTACAACTCCATGGTCATTAAGTCAAGTATTTGGAGCTGTGCACAGGAAGTGAGGAGATCAGCAGCCCTTTCCCTAGCTTTTTCTCTATTTTTCCAGGCTCTTTAAAAAGGTGGATTAAATGAGCCTCAAAGGGGCCGTGCACTGCATTGGACTGGTGGGCACAATAACAGGGCACCGAGGGCTTGGGTTGAGCTGAGATTAGGACCCATCTCTCCAGCATCCTCCAAGTCCTGTGCTCCAACCCCCCGGTCCCTCCCCTGTCCCTGAGCTAGGAATAGACACTAGGGAGTCCTGGCTCCCAGCCCCGCTGCTTTAATCCCCTAGACCCCACTCCCCGAGCTGGGGATAGAACCCAGGAGTCCTGGCTCCCAGCCTCCCGTGCTTGAACCCCCTAATTATTGCATCTTCTTGCTCTAAGAGTCTCTCCAACCCCCAAACTGAGGGGCAGGAGGGACACCTACCTCCACAGGATGACAGCCCGCCCCTTCGTTCTCTTTTCTCTCTGTCCGGCCCTGCACCTGGGCAGTCAGTTAATGTCACCTTGCATCTGGCTCTCATTCAAGTCCAGCCTCTCGTTAGGCAACCGGTCCCACATCCATGGAAAACCCCTCCCCATCTCCTGAGCCCAGGTGCTGGACGGTTGCTGGCATCTTTCCCAGACGGAGATAACACCAGTGCTGACTCGTTAAGAGCGCGCACGCACCTGGGGAGCCGGAGTTTTAACTTTGCTCGCCCCAGCACAGGGCTCTACCCTTCCCCCCAACGGAGCGTCCCATGGGGGGCGCCATGCAGGACATGGCGGAGGGAGGCTTTGAACCCTGTGCCTTGCAGCTGCTGAGGCATAGGGCTCTGCTCGGGTCAGTGAACAGAGGAGCCCCCCTCGCACTGCAGCAGTAGAAGGTTCCCGGGGGGCTCCCAGTGGCGACCGCTCGCTTCTCCTTCCAGCCGCTGGGGACTCATTGTGCCTTCGTCCGCTAGATGAAGGAGCCCTCAGCTAGCAGAGATGCTCTCCCCCTGTACGACCAGAGAGCCTCTCCCTCGTAGGGAACTGTAGACCATGATCAAGCCACCGCTTAACCTTCTCTTGGGTCAACCACACAGACTGAGTGCCTCCGTCTTCCAGACCTCGAATCATTCTTCATAGAATCATAGACATGTCGGGCTAGAAGGGCCCTCGAGACGTCACCCTTTAACCGTTCCCACTCAGTCAGGTTTTTGCCACCTGTGATCATTTTCGTTACTCCCCTCTGGACTCTCCCCCACCTCTTTCCCGGAGGGTGACGGCCAGAACTGGACATTGTTGGGAGCGTGAGCCCGGGAACAGAGTCACAAGTCTACCCACTTTAGGCTTCATCAAATGTTGCCTTTATTTCCACAATTCCACACAGGATTATTGTACACCGTGGTGGTGTAGCCGTGCTGGGCACAGGCTATTAGACAGACGAGGTGGGGGAGGCCACATCCTTTATTGGACACCAACAGAAGATGACCTCCCACACCTGCTCTCTCAGACAGAATTATTGTCGTGTCTGGACCTGCACTGTTGCCAGACGAATAATGACAGACAAGGTGAAATAGGTAAATAGGCCTGTTACCACATTCCGGGACACGGAGAAACCTTTCCACCTTCCAACACAGTCATGGCCTCGCAGGATCTCGTGGGTCTGCTCCTTCGGTCCCATTCTTCAGCTTCCGGTCCCCCAACACCATACTCCAGCTGAGGTCTCCCCCAAGCTGGACAGAGCAGGACAGTTACGTCTGTAACCGAGCCCTGGGACTAGGAGAGCAGTGACGTCTACTAGGTTAGCGCCAGAGGAGTCAGGGCACCTAGGTTACATCCTGGGCTCTGGGAGTGGGGCTTAGTGGGTAGAGCAGAGGGGGCTGTAAGTAAGGACTCCTGGGTTCTATCCCTAGAGCTTGGAATGGGAGGATGGATCGAGTACGCTAGGGTGAGGGATGGGGCACCAGATCTCTGGGTTCTAGACCCAGCTCTGGGAGAAGAGGGGGGGGTCTAATGGATCACAGCAGTGTGGGGCTTGGAGTTAGGTCTCCTGGAGTCTGTTCTGGGTGGAGAGTGAGGTTGGTTGTAATAACTGGGCCTACACATGTATCCTAATTGTGAGCCCAGCTGTAAGAAAGTGAGTAGAAGTTCATAAAATGTCACAAAAAGCAGTGAGTATGAAGGAATCCTCATGTTATCCTGTATTTTACAGATAGGGAAACTGAGGCCCACAGAAATGCAATGACTTCTCGAAGATCACACAGGGCATCAGTGGCAGAGCTGGGAATTGAACCCAGATCTCCTGAGTCCCAGCCCAATGCTGTAAGGTCAAGTGGGGCGGAACAGGCACATACTTAAGACATTAGGCTGGCAGCTGAAGATTTTGATTCAATACTTGACCCTGACCCCGATAAAAGATTCTGTTTTGGCCCTGTCCACCATCCTTGGGAAGAGGTTTGGGGTGAAGTCTCATTGCTCAGCTGTGTACTGACCAAGATGACCTTCAGCCATGCCCCTGACTACCCAAAACCAATCACACGCTTTCCAAGAGTCCCTAGGAAATTCACTCTTTGAAAATCCTCATGTTGGTTCATCTGATTGGCTTGGTGGGAGAAGTGGGATCAACAGAGTCGCCTGCTACCTGGAGTCAGCGCAGTTAGGGGTGAATGGATTTCTGCAAACCGCACCAGAAAATATTCCATGCCTCTTGGATCGGTCCCTTCATTCGCCCACCTTTAGCCCGTTCCCAACGAGCAGAGATACATATCACCCTGAGGCAACTGGGAATGTATTATTTCACTAGAGGGAGTGACTTCAACAGAATTAGTTAATTTAGCCACCAGGTGCTGTTCCCTGGACCCAGGAAATAAAGAGACACACCTTTCTCTTAAATCTTCTGGGTGTCTCATTGCATTTGTTCTGCTTGTACAGATGGCCCTGCTCCGTGACTGGGATTACTGCAATACAAATAATAAATACTAAGAGGAGGGTGGGAATGTTTGTAAGAGACAAAATGTTCAAGTTGCAGCTGGTTGGAAAGCAGGAAAACGAGTTCACAAAAAGTACTGACATTTCAAATTTGTTACCAGGTTCTTTGATATTTTTCCATCGAAAATTGGTGGTTATGAAAATTTCAGTTTTTTTCTGTTTTTCTTCTCCCCCTCCCGTTACAACTCCTCCTTCTCCCAAGGCTCATTTCCCCCATCCACTTTTTATTACTGCAGAAAAAGTGGGGGGGGGGAGAAAAACTGAAAAAAAATGGGGGATTTTGTAGAAAAACCCTGGAAAGGATAAGGAAAACCCATTTTGTTGACGAATATTATTCATGCTTTTTTTTTCAAATACAATATTCTCAACGGAAAAATTTCAGCTAGCTCCAGTTCTCTGCGACTCCTTCACCCTGCTGGAGAGATGCAAAAGGGCCTTAGATTCAAGAAGAATCAGACAGCAGAGGGTTTGATTCATCCCTATGTTACTCCAGATATAGTCCGGGCAATGGTGCAGCGAGGAGGGTAAATGTGACCCTTGGATGGAGAAGCAGGGGGATATTGAGTAGGAGCAGGGGATCAGCTCTGCACATTTCTAGGGTCCATTTCTAGGGTCCACCCCTGAACAAGGAGGTTGACAAACTGGAAAGGGTTCAGAAAGAGCTACAATAATGATATGAGATCTGGAAAACCTGCCCTATAGTGAGAGACTCAGGAGCTAAATCTCTTTAGCTTAATAAAGAGAAGCTGTTATGTTGGTATAATACAGGGTGGGCAAACTTTTTGGCCTAAGGGCCACATCTGGGAATAGAAATTCTATGGCAGGCCATGAATGCTCACAGAATTGGGATTGGGGTGCAGGAGAGGGTGAGGGCTCTGGTTGGGGGTGTGGGCTTTGGGGTGGGGCCAGAAAGGAGGGGTTCAGGGTGCGGGAGGGGGCTCCAGACTGGGGTGGAGAAGTGGGGTGTGGGGGGGAGGGGAGGGCTCCGGTTTGGGGGTGCGAGCTCTGGGGTGGGGCTGGGGATGAGGAGTTTGGGGTGTAGGAGGGTGCTCTGGGCTGGAACTGACAGGTTAGGAGGGAGGGAAGGGGATCAGGGCTGGGGTAGGGGTGCAGGAAGGGGTGCAGGCTCTGGCTGGGGGTACGGGCTCTGGGGTGGGGCTGGAGCTGAGAGGTTTGGGGTGCAGGAGGGTGTTCTGGGCTGGGATTGAGGGGTTCAGAGAGCAGGGCTGGAGCAGGAGGCTGGGGCGTGGGGAGAGGCTTAGGGGTGCAGGCTCTCAGCAACACTTACCTCAAGTGGCTCCCGGAAGCAGTGGCATGTCCTTCTCCAGCTCCTATGGGGAGGCGCGGCCAGGCGGCTCTGCATGCTGCCCCATCTGCAGGCACCGTCCCTGCAGCTCCCATTGGAGCGCCAGAGGGGGCCATTGGAGCTTGTAGGAGCCAGAGCGGGGCCATGCCGCGGCTTCCAGGAGCTGCGTGGTGCAGCCCCTGATCCTGCTCCCCGGCTGGAGCGCCAGAGCGGGGCAAGCCCCAGATCCCACTCCCTAGTGGGAGCGCGCGGGCTGGCTTAAAATGGCTCGCAGGCTGTAGTCTCAGAAGTAGACAAACAGAAGGTCAGCTACCCCTGAGAAGTCAGGCATGGTGTGCTGCCAGGCCAGCCGTGATGTTGTCGGAGACAGAACTGGAGAATCTCGCTCTGTGACTTTCCCACCCACGGGCCAGGTCCCATCAGCTCCTCATGCCTCTCTGCTGATATGGACAAATCCAAGCACGAGGCAGAAACTAAGGAAAATATTTTTTAAAGTCTGGCTTCTGCCTAGAGATGTTTCTTTTGCTTTTTAATCTTATCTAGCCACCTCCAAACATGCCTCCGTGACATATGGTACCTTTGGGGAGCGTCTTGTAACCCCCACATTCCTCATTTATATATAATTGTGATCTCACATATAAAGCAGGCCTTGTAAGGTATCAGGGGAAAGGTCATGATCTGCTGAAAGTCATTTCTCCCTCCAGAGATGTGTATCATTCAGGCATATGAAGCTATGAGAATTGTGTTGTACGGCTGTCACTAAAACATGCTGTAAATTGGGGAATTAGCCAGATATTAGCTTCCCAGAGGCAACAGCACGGAAAGTAACCAATGCCTCAGGCGTGGTGTCAAACAAACAGCCATTGTGCAGCAAGGGAGCTACAATGCAATGACTCACCCTCCTGAGGCCACACCAGGGGAATTGCTCAACCTTGCCTGGAGACTCAGCAATGCCGCCCAGACATGCCTGGACTTGTGTTCTCCAAGCACATGGACTGAGGGTATAAAGCAGAACACGGGGGGCCCAGGCTTGGCCTTTGTTCCTGCCCCCATCTATGCTGCAAGCAACCAGGACGCTCTGAAGACTCCAACTGAGGGGACTGGCCCAGATTTCAAGGGTGAAATCTTGTAGACTAGGGACTGCAATATCCAGGGCGGTGAGAAAAAGTGCTTAATCTAGATATTGCCCAGTCTAATAGGGTTGAGAGTTTAGACCATAGGTTTTCAAACTGTGGTCCATGGACCACCAGTGGTCCGCGAGCTCCATTCAGGTGGTCCGCGGATAGTTCCCTCTAAGGTGTGTACCTGAGCAGTTGCACGTGAGAGAGTGAAGGGCCACCCACCTAAATAGGGGAGTCGCGCAGGCATGGTGGCTCCACTGATTAGGTGCCTGGACCCTGGAGAAGATGCACATGTAAGGTGAGGTGGTGGCCTTGGGGGGAATAGGGGGTAAGTGGGAGGGGGAGGTGGGGGGAAGTGGCGTGAGAAGAAGAGGTGGGGGGAATTTGGGACGTGCAGGGCTGCGGTGCCAGTCACTTTCCCCAGCTCCTGGGCTGTGGCTGACGGGGAGAGACCCCCCCAGCCCTTCCCAGCCCCAGCTCGGGGGCTGCTGCAGCGGGGAACAGAGGGCACATCCATCGTATTAGATAGGTAAGACTACTGACATTAAAATATGAGTTGTGTGCTTTTATATGTAGAACAAAAAATGTTTATTATTAAGGGTTTTTTTTTACAATAGTTAGCTAAAGGTACAAACAACATTGGGAAAGATCATTTAGTGGTCTGCCGAGACCCTCAGCAATTTTCAAGTGGTCTGCGAAAAAAAAAGTTTGAGAACCACTGGTTTAGACTGCATGCTTATATCTTCTTTTCTTTTGGTAACTATCTCTGACTTGTTGCCTATCACTTAATATCACTTAAAATCTATCTTATGTAGTCAATACATTTGTTTTACTGTTTATCTTTATCAGTGAGTTTACCTGAAGTTTGTGGTAAATCTGCTCAGGTTTTATAAAGGCTGGTGTATATCCACTTTCCATTGACGAAGTGGTGAACCAATTAATAAATTTGCATTTCCCATCTTGAGCAGTGCAAGATGGTATATTCCTGGGGTACAATGCTGGGAGCTTGCGGGGGGGGGGAATTTGGCTGGTGCCTCTCTCTGTGTGATTCATGAGTGGCTCTGGGAGCATTCACGCAATGTAGCTGGGTGTTGGGTCTCCACATGTGGTTGCGCTGAGTGATCACAGCACCTGGAGGGGTTTGCTGCTGGTCACTAGCAGGGCATTGTGAGAGACTGCCCAGGCTGGAGACAGTTCAGGGGGCACTGCGGTCCCACAGTCCCAGGCTGCACCCCAGGGATCCTGTCACACCCCCATTTCTCAGTCCATCTACATACATTTCCTCCCAATCCATAGACATCCATCCCCACAGATATCCATCCATCCATCCATCCATCCCCATTCATACCTCTCCCTCCAGCCACCCCATCCATCCATGCATCTAACAGCCTATATACCTCCCCTGTCCGTCCATCCATCCATCTACCCACCCATCCATATACATCCATCTCTACCCCACATATATCAATCCATCCATCCCCATACATACCTCTCTCTCCCTCCACCCATATGCACATACAGACATCCCCCCACACCTTTCTCCCCATACATATCCATCCATCCATCAATCCTCAGATATACCTCCCTATCCGTCCCTCCAACCCATATGCTGCGATCCATCCATGATCACACACCCCTCCCTCTAATCCAGATACATCCCATTTCATCCAGCCATCCAATTTCTCCAAATCTATCTGTCGAGCTAATCTTGTGGCATGGAGTTCCACCAGTACAAACTTTTTACAACCTTTTTATTTTTTCCACGTTTTTTATATTTAAAAACAAAGACTTTATTTAAAAAAAACTGGACCAAGAAACAACCAAACCAATTGGTTACTGATTCAGTATTTTAAAAATCAACTATCCTAGAAATGTACAAGTTGAGATATTTACAAGTGATTGAACATGGGGTGGAAGAGGTAGTGTGCCCATTCGGTGTCATAGGAGAGGGCTCTGGCTGGATGGGTGGTGGGTGCGGCTCTAGATTATCAGGCTGTGCTGGTGTGTTTCACGTGGACGTCTTGCTGGGGTTACAGCCAGCTATGAATCAGCGATCACCGGCCCATGTCTTTGCCCCTCAGTGGTGAATGGGTGAGCACGGACCTTTATAAGCCAGTCCCACATCAGCACCAGCACAGCCATGAACAGTAGGCCAGGGATGACAAGGAGAAACCGGTAGAAAAACAGCGGCCCTGGAATTGCAAGAGCAGCGGGTTAAGGGAGAAGTCGGCTCACCTGGTTCTAGCTCTGTGGGTGTTTGTCACCCCCTCATGGCCAGTTGGGGTATTGCTATTACAAGCACCCTGAAGAACCATTAGAGGCTGAGATTCAGGTCTGTGTCTACCCACAGTAGGGTCAGTGGATGGGCAGATTTCCTTCTGCCCCTGCCCCCCCTACCAAAAATCCCCCAGTTTACAGGAGTGGTTTGGTTTCTTTGAGCCACAATTATTATAGTACCTAGAAGTCTGACATCAGGGCACCTTTGCACCAGACACCCAGGGAGAGACAGTCCCTGCTACAAAGTCTAAACAGACAAAGGATGGAAGGGGGATCTGAGGCTCAAGGAGGGGACTTTTGCTAGGCCACGCGGCAGAGCACAGCCTTGAACCCAGTCGTCCACAGCCATTGCCCAAGGCTCCATGTCCCGGTGCCCCACTCGTTTGCCTGTCCTCAGCTTCACTACTGGGGCTGCCAGCCTGGGAATAGCTGTGGTTTGGGTACCAGGGCGCTCAGACCCACCAACTGATATCACACCTCTTCGTGTCATGACTTGATCTGGGGCCGGATTAAAGCCGGCGCCCCCTAGAGGGGAAATGCCCCAAGGCCCACTTCCTGAACCAGCCAGTGCCCCCTCCGCCTCCCAGCCTGGACCAGAACCAGCGCCCCCCAGAAAGAGACTCACCCACAGCCGTCAAGAGGATGCGGGCCAGGCAGGTTCTGTTCTTCCCCGAGAGGACCCAGTACTCCCCCTCCATGTCTCTCTTCATCTCCTGCACCACGAGGCCCGATGTGTGGAGGATGAGGTGGCCCTTGAAGGCCCGCAGGAAGTAGTATAGACGGCCCCGGATCAGCACCATTAGCCAGTCGCAGCGGGGCCTGTGGGCATTCACTCTGCACAGGGCAACGCTCCCCCGGGGCAGCCGGAGCGGGATGACGGCCGTCGAGCCCCGGGCGACAAAGCGATGCAGGAGGGGGCAGGCGCTGGGAGCTGGGGAAAGACTCAGGGTGAGTAACTCATAGTGGGACCCCAGGGGGGACGGTGTGTGCCATTGATTAGCTGCAGCCACTAGGGGGCGATAGGGGATGGGGGACGGTTTTACCCAGCTGATGATATGAGATTAGAACTGATTAGCAGGGAAAGGCCCCATAGCTCATTCCCCACTCCCTGAGCCAGCCATTGCCCCACCCTGGGGCTGGATCAGAACAGTGCCCCCTAGAGTGGAAAGGTCCCGTCTCCCATTCCCAGCCTCCTTGAGCCAGCCAGTCCCCCACCATGGGGTCAGATCACAGCCAGTGCCCCCTAGAGAGGAAAGGCCCTGTGTCCCATTCCCTGCCTCCCTGAGCCAGCCGACCCACAACTGTGGGCCCGGATCACAGATGGTGCCCCACAGAGGGGAAAGGCCCAGTGTCCCATTCCAATCCCCCTTGAGCCAGCCAGCGCCCTCTACAGGGGAAAGGCCCCATATCCCATCCTCCTTTATATTTTAATACATTCCCTGTAGACCCCATAGCACTCTGGTATACCCCAATACATCCCCTGATTCCCCCTGGCTATTCCCAGCACACCCCAATACACCTGTACCCCCCAGTATGCTGCCTAGACATCCTAATACCTCCCTGTATACCCACCTCCTTACCTGCCACCTTCCCAACATAGGGCAGAGCCCGCACCTCCATGACCCTGCCTGGGTAAAGCCCCCCCAGAATGAGAAGCATGGCCCCATAACCCCCACTCTGCCGCACCCAGCGCCCCCTAGAACTCCCCTCCAGCTGTGTCCCACACCCCCACATCCTGACCACCCAGGGTGCTCCCAGCCTGGCTCGGTGTGGGTGTACTGGGGATGCTGGTTCTATTGCGGGGGGGTCATAATGGCTGGGCACATTGGGTTCTATGCTCTGCGCAGAACAGATGTGACAGCAGGTTCCAACAGCTGGATCTCGCCCCCTAGTGGCCGTTGCCTGAGCTGCATCGTCCCATACTGCACCTGGGACGAGGCCAGACAGACCCATCTGGGATGCAGCTGTGGCAGGGGCAATGCCAGGGAATATCCGGACTGAGATGCCCGGGGATTGGGACATGGGGTCTCTCCCCTCTAGGGGTCGTCCGTTCTGACCCAGCCCCGGGGCGGGTGGGGGGAACTGGCTTGCCCAGAGAAGCAGAGAAGGGTTTTTCCCCTTTAGAGGGCACCAGTTCTAAATTTCACACCATCTACTGGGTGGAATATCAGACCTCCTGAGGGGGGTGGGGTGCTACCCTGCTGCCCCCTAGTGGCTGCAGCTGATGTTGGCTTAGGCAAGTAGTTCCCCACCGCTGCCACCAATAACTGCCCAATCATACTGGAAGCAGAACCAGCCTCATCGGGTGAGCGACCTTGAGCTTTCAGGTCATTGTTGCCTGTTGAACCCAGACGCTCCCCCCGGAGCTCCAGTCAGTGCCACTGTCCAGCCCGGGGTGGGGGCATAATTCATTTCCACATTTGAAAGGAGCACGAGATGGGAGAACATGGGGTGGGGGGAGAAGAGACACCCAGCGGAAACCCTGGCTCCATCCAGCCGGCCCTGGCTCCAGGCGTCTTCTCGCGTGTGGGAGGATGTGAGAGTCAAGGCAGGTTTTGTGGACCGGCGAGGAGGCGGGGAAGGCTAGTGGTGGTGTTGGGTCACGGTGGTGCAGGGAGCTGGCCCCAGGCGAGATGGTCGGGGTGTTCCTGCTCTGGGTCTTTGTGGGTGAGCAAAAGGGTTTTTTTGGGGGAGGATGCTGCTTCTACGGGGGAGGGAGAGAGATGGCTGTGGGGAGAGGATGGGGGAAGATGGGAAGGAAAAAAGGGACGAGTGTGAAAGCGAAAAATATTTTGGTTACTTCAAGAAAGAAGGGGGGGCACAGTACCAGGGTACAGTTGGGCATGTTGGGGGGGGCGGTGTGTGGTGGGGAGGTGGGGGTGCAGGGTGCACAGTGTGGGGGGGCTGTGGTGGTGCTGTGGCAGCTGTGGGGGGCCCAGTGTGAGGGTGTGGGTGAGGCAGTGAGGGGCTGTGTGGTGGGGGTGCGGGGGAGCCCAGTGTGAGGGTGCGGGTGGGGCAGTAAGGGGCTGGGCGACGGGGCCGTGGGAGGCTGGGTGTGGGGGATGTAGGGTCCCAGTGTGAGGGTGCGGGGGGGGCAGCGGGGGGCCGGGCGACGGGGTCGTGGGAGGCTGGGTGTGGGGAACGCGGGGGCCCAGTGTGAGGGTGCAGGGGGGCAGCGGGGGGCTGGGTGCGGGGGACGCGGGGGAGCCGGGGGTGAGGGTGCGGGGGGGGCAGCGGGGAGCTGGGTGCGGGGGATGCGGGGGAGCCGGGGGCGAGGGTGCGGGGGGGGCAGCGGGGGGCCGGGCGACGGGGTCGTGGGAGGCTGGGTGTGGGGAACGCGGGGGCCCAGTGTGAGGGTGCAGGGGGGCAGCGGGGGGCTGGGTGCGGGGGACGCGGGGGAGCCGGGGGTGAGGGTGCGGGGGGGGCAGCGGGGGGCTGGGTGCGGGGACGTGGGGGAGCCGGGGGTGAGGGTGCGGGGGGGGCAGCGGGGGGCTGGGTGCGGGGGACGCGGGGGAGCCGGGGGTGAGGGTGCGGGGGGGGCAGCGGGGGGGCCGGGCGGCGGGGCCGTGGGGAGCAGCCTAGAGGGGACGTGGGGGGCCCGCACAGCGCCCCCCCCACCCCCGGCACTCCCGCTGCCTCTCCCGGCAGGCGGCTGCTCCCCGCTCTTGCTGGCCGTGCCGGCTGGCCCGGTGGCCGCGGTCCCCGGGGGCACGGCCCTGCTCCCCGCCGCCCTGCGGCTCCCGGCCCCGCCGCCCCCTGTCTTCCAGGTGCGCTGGCGTTTCCAGCCCACGGGCCGCCTGGTGCTGCTGCTGGCGGCCCGGGGCTGCGGCGGGGCGGCCCCCTGGCGCCTGTCCTGCCGCCTGGCCCTGGAGCGCGGCCGGGGCTACGAGGGCCGGGCCGGCCTGGGCCCCCGCGAGGCCTCGCTGCTGCTGCGGGACGCCCGGCCCGAGGACGCCGGCATCTACCGCGTCAGCCTGCTGGGCCTGGACGTGCAGGCCGCGGCCGAGGTCAACCTGACCCTGGCCCCCGCCCCCGCCCCCGCCCCCGCCGCAGGTAACCGGGGTGGGGGCGGGCGGGGAGAGCCGGGGCGGGATCCCGCCGGCCGACCCCTGCCCCGTCCCCCGCAGCTCAGCCCCTCCCCAACCCCTCCCCCGTTCCCTCCCCTCCCCCGTCCTCCCAGGGGATCCCGCGTCCCACCCCCTCCCCCGTTCCCTCCCCTCCCCCGTCCTCCCATGGGATGCCGCGTCCCAACCCCACACCCATTCCCTCCCCTCCCCCGTCCTCCCATGGGATCCCGCGTCCCAACCCCTCCCCCATTCCCTTCCCTCCCCCACCCTCCATGGGATCCCACGTCCCAGCCCCTCCCCCTTTCCCTCCCCTCCCCCGTCCTCCCATGGGATCCCGCGTCCCAACCCTCCCCCGTTCCCTCCCCTCCCCCGTCCTCCCAGGGGATCCCGCGTCCCAACCCCTCCCCCGTTCCCTCCCCTCCCCCGTCCTCCCATGGGATCCCGCGTCCCAACCCCTCCCCCGTTCCCTCCCCTCCCCCGTCCTCCCATGGGATCCCGCGTCCCAACCCCTCCCCCCATTCCCTTCCCTCCCCCGTCCTCCCAGGGGATCCCGCGTCCCAACCCCTCCCCCATTCCCTTCCCTCCCCCCACCCTCCATGGGATCCCGCGTCCCAACCCCACACCCATTCCCTCCCCTCCCCCGTCCTCCCATGGGATCCCGCGTCCCAACCCCTCCCCCGTTCCCTCCCCTCCCCCGTCCTCCCATGGGATCCCGAGTCCCAACCCTCCCCCGTTCCCTCCCCTCCCCCACCCTCCATGGGATCCCACGTCCCAGCCCCTCCCCCACCCCCTATGGCCCAACCCCTACCCCATCTGCTTTCTCCAGTCCCCACTGGATCCCACATTGCAACCCCTCCCCTCCCCCTCGTGTTCCCGTCCCTCCCCCATTCCCTGCTTCCTATCCTCACCCCCATCCCCCGTGGGATCCTGTAACCCTGTTCCCCCACATAATATGGGGATCCCACCCCCTATCAGGGATCCTATATCTCTGATCCTTCCCCGCATAGGGATCTCACCCCCGCCAGGGATCTGGCATCCCAGCTGTCCCCACGGATCCCATTGCAAAGCTGCCATCCCGCCCTACTCTCCTACCCTGGCCAGCCCCTGTCCCATGGTGCTGCCCCCCACCCCTGTCACGGCCTCTAGTCCGCTCCCTGGGGAGGCCCTGCCAGTGCAGAGTTGAACTCAGAGCCCGGCAGGGGATCCCTCCCTCCAGCCAACCCCCTCACCCACCCTGCTCTGGCTTCTCTCCCTACAGACCCCAGTCTCCCTACAGACCCCACCACCGTCCTGCCTCCCACCTCGCCAGCACCTGCCAGCAGCACCGAACTGCAGGGTGAGGAAGGAGAACAGAGGTGCACAGTGGGGGGGGGGGGGCGGAGGGGGCAGGTCTTGGTGTTACAGCACCGAGCTGGGACTCAGGGGATTTCGGCTCTGTTCCTGGCTCTGTGTCGCATCCCACAGTATTCTTGCCAGCACGTTAAAGAAGTATGGGCTGGGTGAATGGACTGTAAGGTGGACAGAAAGCTGGCTAGATCCTCGGGCTCAACGGGTAGTGATCAATGGCTCCATGTCTAGTTGGCAGCCGGTATCAAGCGGAGTGCCCCAAGGCACTTCAATATCTTCATAAATGATCTGGAGGATGGTGTGGATTGCACCCTCAGGAAGTTTGCAGATGGCACTAAACTGGGAGGAGAGGTAGATATGCTGGAGGGTAGGGATAGGATACAGAGGGACCTAGCCCTGGTCTACACTACGGCGTTAGGTCGAATTTAGCCTCATTAGGTCGATTTAAAAATGACTGCGTCCACACACCAACCCCGTTCCGTCAATCTAAAGGGCTTAGTGAGGACGCACTCCACTGACTTAATGCGCTTAGTGTGGACATACGCAATCGACTGTATAAACTTGAATTCTAAAAATTGACTTCTATAAAATCGACCTAATTTCGTATTGTAGACATACCCCTAGACAAATTAGAGGATTGGGCCAAAGGAAATCTGATGAGGTTCAACAAGGACAAGTGCAGAGTCCTGCACTTAGGACGGAAGAATCCCAGGCACCGCTACAGACTAGGGACCGAATGGCTAGGCAGCAGTTCTGCAGAAAAGGACCTAGGGGTGACAGTGGACGAGAAGCTGGATATGAGTCAACAGTGTGTCCTTGTCGCCAAAAAGGCCAATGGCATTTTGGACTGTATAAGTAGGGGCATTGCCAGCAGATTGAGGGACGTGATCATTCCCCTCTATTCGACATTGGTGAGGCGTCATCTGGAGTACTGTGTCCAGTTTTGGGCCCCACACTACAAAAAGGATGTGGAAAAACTGGAAAGCGTCCAGCGGAGTGCAACAAAAATGATTAGGGGTCTGGAACACATGACTTATGTGGAGAGGCTGAGGGAACTGGGATTGTTTAGTCTGCAGAAGAGAAGAATGAGGGGGGATTTGATAGCTGCTTTCAACTACCTGACAGGGGATTCCAAAGAGGATGGATCTAGACTGTTCTCCGTGGTGGCAGATGACAGAACGAGGAGTAATGGTCTCAAGTTGCAGTGGGGGAGGTCTAGGTTGGATAATAGGAAAAACTTTTTCACCAGGAGGGTGGTGAAGCACTGGAATGTGTTACCTAGGGAGGTGGTAGAATCTCCTTCCTTAGAGGTTTTTAAGACCCGGCTTGACAAAGCCCTGGCTGGGATGAGTTAGTTGGGGTTGGTCCTGCTTTGAGCAGGGGGTTGGACTAGAACCTCCTGAGGTCCCTTCCAACCCTGATGTTCTATGATTCTATGATTCTTTCCCCAGGCCTCCGGTTCCCAACTTCGCCCCCTGGGGCCCTGCGTCCCGGGCCTCCGCTCCAGCCCCTCTTATGTTACGTCTACCCTGCACTGTGAACCCGGATCTGTGGGCCCCGGGGCTTGCGGCCTGGGAGTTGCCTGCTCAATCTGGCCTTATGGTGGTTGGCCACGGGGCTCCCAGCCGTGCTCACGCGGCCGCCCTGTGCTGCGCAGACCTTCTGTCTTGGGGCCTGAGCCCCGTCCGCACTGCAAAACAGTCCTGATCGTGTGGGTCAGTGGAGGTTCCTGGTCCAGGCTTCTCGGCTTAGATCCCAGCTCTCCTGTGCGGCGTCATGACATTGAGGGCCGGGGTGATCCATGCTTGACCCCCCCGCCCCCAATCCCGTGACAGGCAGGCGGGTGTGTGCGGAGGGGGGCGGGTGTCGGTGAGCCCTAGGGCTGTGCTGTTGAGCAGGGCTCTGAATTTGGTTTCCTCTCTGCAGGGGACACAGCGCCGCCCCTCGCCCCGGTATGGGCCACGCTGGATGGAGGGAGAGCTGTGATGCCCAATGCTGTCCGGCTGTGCCTAGCGGGCCTGGTTCTCTGCCTCCTGGTGCTGATCGTGGGCGAGGTGAGCGGGTTCTCCCCCCTTTCGTGTGTGTGTGTGTGTCTGTGTGTGTGTGAATGCTGCCCCCTGCTGGAGGAAATACGTTATACATGCCTTGAACACGTGTGTGTGTGGGTGTGAGTGAGAGAAATAACACTGCCCCCTGCTGGAGGGAACGTCTCACACCCCATTTGCCCTCGTGAATCACACTGGATTCTCTCTGTGTGTGTCCGTCCTCATATCTATGAGTGGAAAGGTAGCTTAACATGGCCTCTGCCCCTTAACGCCCCCTACCACACCCACTAACTGGGCTCCTACTTGGAAACACTCCCTGTCGCCCGCTGAATGATCAGAGTCAACTTCACACTGTGATTCCCTTCCCCAGTATGTTCTGTCCATGAGAAACAAGGACACCTCGGGGACAGGTTCACCCACAGATGCTGCTGCAACCGTCACGACACTGTCGACGATATACGTCCTCCAAGAGATGCCCATACCAGATGGCTCAGAGGAATTATATGCCAGCCTAAGTTTCTGATCCTGCTGTATGATTGCACACACGTGCTGCCGTTTCTCCTCTCAAACCCACACTTACCGTCATCATTAGGTGGAATTGTGTTCCTGCAGCAGTGAGTTCCACCGGTTGCTGCCACACTGCTTAGTAACCTGAGACACTGTGGTGAAGTCCAGTGCAAGCCTGCATGCTCTCTGCCTGAACGGTCTTTCGTTTAAGATTGGAAGGGGCTGATGAGACGAGAAAGAACAGACGTCAAGCTCCCCGGTGAGAGCCCCACCTGGTGTAAATGTGTGTCGCTTTGCTGGAGTCAGTGCGGCCAGACCCCCAGCAGGTGTGACTCAGCCGTCGCTTCATTGCAATCAATGGGGCCAGATCCCTGCAGGTGTGAATCAATATTGCTCCGTTAGAGACAAACACACCAAATTCCCAGCTGGTGTTACTTGGTGTCCTGTCGCTGAAGCTAGCTCAGACCGGTGGATCCACCGAAGCTGGAATTTCCCATCCCCCACCCTCCTTCGCTTTTATCACGGAAGAGAAGAGCGTGATACATTAGCCAACACTTTCTTCCTCATTTTCATTTCCCCCTCGCATTTCCCACTGCAGACTAAAGCTGCCCAAGCTTTAAGCATAATATCACATGGGATCTTCTTGCATTTTGTAGTCACCCCACATCCTGTTTGGGTCACCAGTGAGATTTGGATCCAGGGACCAGACAAAAATTCCCTCTGATAACCACTGGGAGGAGTTATTTGGCCGGGGTTAGACTAGATGACTTCATTTTCCCTTCTGGCCTTAAAATCATCCCTGACATCTTTGAAAGCATCCCTGCATTTTACACTGGTTGAAACGTATAGGTCTATGTTCATAATTGGAAGTGTGTTTGTTATCTTTAACCCACTGGCAGCAAGCATTCATCTCATCGTTAGTAGAGCATCTCTCAGATGGAATTTCCTTTATTCTCAGCGCTTGTTCTGTTTGCAGACCTATGCAGTACACATCAAGCAAGATTGTATGTGGCCGTATAAATAAGTGACACTGAATTTCAACGGTTGGTCTTAATGACTGTATGACACAGACTTTTCTTTACGCTTCAGTGCATAATAAATACACGTTGCAGCCACATCCTTTGAAGTGCTTTGTGTGACGGGTTGGGTCACAGAAACCGCCTTGGGACTGCCGCCTGATGTGCTGAGATTACCTCTGAGCCCGTTTTCCCTGCCAGCCTGGGACTCCAGAACCCTGCCTTGTTGAGCCAGACATGCTAGTCTGCTGCAAACACAGACCCAGGTCTGAACCATGTCCCCCAGAGCTGCAGGCTTTAACTGAAAGCCACTTAGCAGGTATTCCTGTCTCCAGCACCCAGATACCCAGTTCCCAGTGGGCTCCAACCCCCCAATAAATCTGTTTTACTCTGTATAAAGCTTATACAGGGTAAACTCATAAATTGTCCGCTCTCTATAACACTGATAGAGAGATATGCACAGCTGTTTGCTCCCCCAGGCATTAATTACTTACTCTCGGTCAAGTAATAAGCAAAAGTGATTTTATTAATCACTTTTATTAAAAGTAGGATTTAAGTGGTTCCAAGTAATAACAGACAGAACAAAGTAAGTTACCAAGAAAAATAAATAAAAACACTCAAGTCTAAGCCTAATACAGTAGGAAACCGAATACAGATAAAATCTCACCCTCAGAGATGTTCCAAGAAGCTTCTTTCACAGACTAGACTCCTTTCTAGTCTGGGCCCAATCATTTCCCTGGTACAGTCCTTGTTCCAGCTCAGGTGGTAACTGGGGGATTTCTCATTACTGCAGCCGCCTTGTTCTGTTCCACCCCCTTATATACCTTTGGCACAAGGCGGGAATCTTTTGTCTCATTGGGTCCTCACCCCTCCTTCTAAATGGAAAAGTCCCAGGTTTAAGATGGATTCCAGTACCAGGTGACATGGTCACATGTCCTGTGAGACCCCGAAGCCTTCATTCTTCCCAGCGTGACTCACAGGAAGGCTTGCAAGTAAACAGAGCCATCTACAGTCAATTGTCCTGGTTAATGGGAGTCATCAAGATTCCAAGCCACCATTGATGGCCCACACTTTGCATAATTACAATAGGACCTCAGAGTTATATTTCATATTTCTAGTTTCAGATACAAGAATGATACAGTCATACAAATAGGATGACCACACTCAGTAGATTATAAGCTTTGTAATGATACCTTACAAGAGATCTTTTGCCTGAAGCATATTCCAGTTACATTATATTCACACTCATTAGCATATTTTCATAAAATCCGATGGAGTGCACTGTCACACTCTGCATCACAAGCCGATCTGAGCAGGGCAGTGTGGTGGCCAGGCCCCATTGAGGGGCAATTTGCATCTTCTGTGATGACAATGTTCTCTCTCCCTTATTATTTATATTACAGTAACGCCAACCAAGATCAGCCATTGTACCAGATGCCCTAGAGCCTTACTGACAGTCTTTACCCTGCAAGGCTTATCATCTAAATACACGAAAGGCTTATTATCCTCATTTTACAGAGGGGGAAACTGAGGCACTGAGCAATGCAGTAACTACCCATGGTTACACGGGGAGGCTATGGCAGAATTGGGGATAGACTACAGTCCTGTAACACAAGGTCAGCCTCCCTCTCAAATGAAGTTTACCAACCCCTTAAGCATGTTGATATGTCAAGTTCCATCATTAGGGCTCAGAGTCAACATCCCAAGGGGTATTTTGGCTTGCATGACTCTAGAGACCACCACCACACTGTGGGCACTCCACTATGCCAGCACTGGTTTACTGTTTCAGTAGGACCTGGAGCTCCATGTTCAGAGATCAGTTTGGAAGTGGCATGCACACCAAGTGAATTCTGGGATATGGGGAAGGCGGGCAGGGGGAAACTGTGGTCCTTTGATCCCTTTTCTCACGGGTACTCTGGGCCTCTGAGAAGTGTCCCACAATGCAGTGCAAAAATTACCTTGGTGAATTCTGGGATACAGCATGGAGGCAACCCCCGCTGGCCTCCTGGAACTATCCCACAATCTAGTGCAAAATTTACCCAGTGGGCCATGGAGCACCTGGGTTAACTACCCACGATGCAATGCACCATGCACGGAGGCATGGCTCAGCTTGCACCAGCGCTACTGGAAGTGTGTGACTATGCACACACAGCTGTGGATTCACCACTGCGTGTGTTACCCGGGTAGAACTCCTACGGAGACCAGCCTTCAGCACTGTGGATAATTAAGGGAGTGGTGGGGAGACCTCTGTGTCCCCAACACACACAAACAGCGACAGGCTGATTTTGGGGGATCCCTGGTCACATCTACAGCCTTCTGTCTTCACCTTCTTGGTCGCCCACGGCTATCCTCGCCCACACGTCCTTTAGCTTCCAGCCCACAAGGGCTAGAACCGCCGAAACTGGAATGAGAAGGAGCAGGTACCATCTCCAATCCACAGGTTCTGCAAACAGAGAGAGGAAGGAAGTTTGTTCCAAGGCTGGCTACTAGGAAAAACTTTTATGGAAAAAGTTAATTTGCATCTCATGGTGCGTGCCCTAACCTCCAGCCCTATTGGCTAGTCTGAGTTCTTGCTCCTTCTCCCAGAAATTCCATCTCGGACCGAGGCCCCCCTGTTCCTGATCACTGTTGTCCAATGATACATTTCTCTGAAAAGTTTTGAGGCATCGTCAGTTTGCTCTAGTAGCTTCACAAGATGGGGCAGTGCAGTCCCTGGCCCTCACAGAAGTTTCGGGACGAACCGGTGGTGGGCATTTTACGTTTTCATTCAGGGGAGTGCATTGGGTTGCTCCACCCCCCGACTGAGATGGAAAATTCCCCCACCCCTCACCAAACCCTCCGAGCAAACAATGATGCTGAGCCGCCCCCTGGGCTGAATTTACCCAACACCACCAGATGGAGCCGGGCCAGGCACGTCGCATCCAGATCTTGGAACATGTAGACACCCCCGTCCCCGCTGTGTACGCCCTGCACCGCGAAGTCGCCCCCGGACACAGAGACCCGCACTTGGAAGGAACGCAGCAGCTGGTGTGACGTCCCGTTGATGAAGGTGTAGACGTGGTCCCATGTCAGCGTGGAATTGTGCCACTTGTAAAGGTCCAGGGTGGCGGGCAGGTGAAGCGGGACGCGCAAGGAGCTGCCCCTGGGCACAGAACAGTGGGCATGGGGGCAATCGCCAGCGCCTAGAAGGGGGAGCAGACAGGGACCGGCGTGTGAGAGAGGAGAGCACGAGGTGGCAGGGCTGTGGGGCTATGAGTGGGAACGTGATGTAGACAGGGCACTGGATACGCATTCAGAATACCCAGGCTCCATCCCCAGCTCTGCGTGGGGAGTGGAGTCTAGTGGTTAGAGTAGGTGGCGGGATGGAAGTCAGAACTCCTGGGTTCTCTCCCCGGCTCTGGGAGGGGTGGAGGGTCTGGTAGGTTAGAGCAGGTGGAGGGCTGAGATCCAGGACTCCTGGGTTCTCTCCCCAGCTCTGGGAGGGGT